AACACACATGCTCTGTCGCTGAGCTGTGGCATTCTTGTGAAGCATTAGGAGCAAGCAGAAATAATGGCTTCTCTCCTTGATTAGTTTCCACCCATTGCTTCTTGTCCTGCCCTCAGGTGCCTTGGAGAATAGTTTGACTCCCTCTTCTTTGTGGTAGCCCCTGAGATATTGGAACACTGCTATCATGTCTCCCCTAGTCCTTCTTTTCATAAAACTAGACATACCCAGTTCCTGCAACCGTTCTTTATATGTTTTAGCCTTCAGTCCCCTAATCATCTTTGTTGCTCTTCTCTGCACTTTTTCTAGAGTCTCAACATCTTTTTTACATCGTGGTGACCAAAATTGAATGCTGTATTCCAAGTATGGTCTTACCAAGGCATAAAGTGGTATTATTTTCACTTGATCTTGATTCTATCCCTGTATATGCAGCCTAGAACTGTTTTGACTTTTTTGGCAGCTGCTGTACACTGCTGGTTCATATGGTTGTCCACTAGGATTCCAAGATCCCTCTCACAGTTACTACTATTGAGCAAGGTACCACATATACTGTACCTGTGCATTTTGTTTTTCTTTTGTTATTTAAGAATTTAGATTCTCATTTGCCTTCTATACTTTATTTAGTCCCACTGTAACCCACTTTTTCATAAAGAAAATTCATTCAGCACTATTCATCAGAACTTTCACTTCTCTGCCTAGCTGGACCAGCAGGATTCAAAGATTCTACATCTGAAATTATTAAGTGCAATAAACAGGATAGATTTTGAAGCCCATGCATTATAAGCAAGACAGCTAAATCTTACTACTTTGGAGCAACAAAACTGTGGCTGTTGGTACTCATATTTTTTAGATATGCTCAAGAGTCGTTTAAACATGATCTCCTTAAATTCATTTAATTCATCATGTTGTAATATCACTTTTATCATAGATAGTAAATTAATTTGCAAAAGCAAATCAGAGGAAAAGAGGAGAGGGGTGTGTTATTACCATTAAAGATGGATTATTTGTATTCTCTACATTGAAATAAAGATAAAGATTAGTCTTAATTTGACTAAGTAATCTTTATTCCTCCCAAATGTTAATAAAATGACTAATAAAATCTAGTGTTGCAGATGTTTGGTTTACTAATCCAAGTATATAGTGATATATCTTGTATATATTTTTAATTGTTCACTAAGTGGAAATAGCTGTCCTTACAAAAACATTTAGAAGCTCTTGTTATAAAGAAATAAATAATTGAGTATGAAACCAAAATAGTGGTCACTCTCAATATCCCATGGAAGATGAGTACTTGTCCCCCCAAAACAGCTTTTATTCATTGATATCTTTCATTGATTTCACGTGCTATGTTATCTTGAAAACGAATCAGTAATTAGGGATACAACTTATTGAAAATCATCTAGAGGCCTAAGTGTTTTACAGATATAGTAAAATACATTATTTAATAAAATCCCATGTAAAATATATTAAATATATATGTATAATATAAGTACTGGTCTTGACAAACTGTTGCTCTTCCTAATGCTCTCCCTTAGGCTATGTCGGCGACGAATCAAAATTTCTTTGGCTTGCTTTTCATTTGCATCTTCAGCAAGACTGTATCTATTATATGATGGAGTCTGCAACAAACAAATAAGAAAATATATGCTTTAAAATATATTAATAATGGCAGTTCTAATGCAGAAGCTTCCTGCGTCATATTTTGTTTTTAAGGTATCTCAAAAACATAACTTAAAAGCATAGTTAGCATAATGAAACACCTGAAAATGATGCAATATTTCAAAAGGAATTTATTATTTTGATAGCTATTTTTAGTACCACAATTTGCTTTAATAACTTAGAAGTTAAATATCAGAAATATCAATAATCATACAAATATTTATATTTCCCAGCCTATTTTATATGTAAGATGAGGCATAGAGATACACTGTCGCTATGGCTAGATTAAAAAAAAAGGCAAACATCAACAAACTGTTTTCCACACAAAGCTGAGATGCTGTCTAACTGATATTGGGAGAATAGAATTCCCACACTCAACCTCAATTTTTATTTAGCTTTTTATTCCGCATTCATTACTTTATATATAACTCAAAGCAATGAACATATACTCTTTCTTCCTCTTATTTTCCCACAACAAGAATCCCGTGAAGTACTGTAGAGTGGGCTGAGAGGGAGAACGATTGGCCCAAAGTCATCCATCCAGCTTTCATGCCTGAGGTTGGACTAGAACTCACAGTCTTCCTGTTTCTAGGCCAGCACCTTAACCATTATACCAAACGTACCCTCTATTAATTGTTCTGCAGAAGATTCTGTTTTATTAAAAGGTCGTGGGTAAGTGCTATTTGAACCTCTGAGTTAAAGTGGTCCACAGGTTTATTCCAGTGGTGGGTTGCTAGCCAGTTTACTACCGGTTCGCTCATGCTCACACATGCTCTCATGTGTGTCCAGCCGGGTGGGCAGAGCCTCCCACCACTGCCACTACCAGTTTAGCCAAACCGGGCTGAACCAGGAGCAACCCACCTCTGGTTTGTTCCACCATGGCTCTTTGTGTCCCCAATCCTTGGACAAGGACTCTGATTCTCTCCAGGTTCAAAAAGTATACCAAAGGGATCAAGAGATGGAGTTGAAGATATCCAGGAGCCAAGCCTGCAGGCTTCAAAACTTGAAATACTGAATTAAATTGTTCTACCTGGAAGCTTATTGGGAGCAAAGGCGGGATCACAGCACAGGGTAATTCCAATATGATAAGACTGTAATAGCTCTTAAGTGCCAGCATACAAGTTGCTTCATTCTGCACCAATTGCAGTTTCCAAATGGCCTTCAAAGGAATGGCCATATAAAGTTCATTGCACAATTACTTCTGATGTGATACAGGTATGAATTTATTATTACAGGGCTCCCACTCATATATTTCCCTAAAGGTATTGTGGCCCATCCCCACCTGCATTTTGCAATACTGTACTTTTCCTGCCAAAGTACCGTTGGCCCTGATTGATAGTGGATGATGGCGGATAAATATATACATATTATATTTAGGTATGAGTATTACTACATTATTATGGTTATTATTTTTGTTGTGTTGCTTTTGATTAATTAGGGCAGTTCATAAATATGATAAATAAATAATGTGAACAATATCTATAATATTATGCACCAGCCAAAGTTGGGCAAATGCTTCCCTGATTATAGGCTCCAACAGCAGCTATGGTTTGAGGTCAACTCTCAGAAGCCTACTCCTTCAAAAGAAATAATGTCCCATCCAGAGTTGTAACTGGGAAATGGCAGTTCTGTCCTCATCTCATCCAAGCCTCTATAGCCCCCAGGCACAGGGTCAAGGCTTTCATGGTGTCTGTGGCCTGGCCAGGGATGGAAACATATATGCTAATAATCATCACAAATCTACAGGCAAACTGTGCCAGGCAATTAAAGCTTCTGCTGGAAAAAGTCACATTATCAGGGATCCTTTGGGTAGAACTGTATTTTAAAGATGAAAGTGTTTGCATGACTAGACTTTCATGGGGTTATCATTCAGATTAATTGGAGTATGAAACTAACCCAGTGGTGGGTTTCAAAAATTTTTAGAACCTCTTCTGTAGGTATGGCCTGCTTTGTGGGAGTGGGTTGCCGGCCATGTGACCAGAAGTGGCTTGCCAGCCATGTGACCGGGTGGGAGTGGCCAACTTGTAAAATGTGGTGAAACAACATCTTCTTATTCAATAAACCTAAATACATTCCTTTGGAGATAAATTCCATTGATTGTAATAGAAATTATTTCTCCATACACATCTTAAGTTGGCATGCTACTGTTTTTACTGGAAAATGAAAAAAAAATGCTGTTTGAAAAAGTAGATGTAGCCACACCAAGGTATTATTCTAATATCTTGTTGTCTACTTACTCTTTGTCGTATCTGATACAGATTCTTTGTTAAAATCTCTCTTATGTTATCCATTTGGCCAGAATAAGGTGCATTTATTTTTTCTCCTTCTTGAGGCTCACTGTTGTAACAGGAGATAAAATATAGAGGTAAACAGATAATCCATTGGAATAATATGAATTATACATTTTTTCAAAGATAGAAAATCATTTAAAAGAAAGAAAATATATTTATCATGTGTTATACAAAAAAAAAACATTTTTGCTTAATATTGAGTTAACCATATCAATAATGTGGATCTGAAATTTATTTAAACTGCAAATTGATAAAATGTTAAATAAATCTACAATTTTCCCAAGTAGCTTTATCCATAGTCTGTAATTCATGAATATTTCAGAATTTAATTCAAATTCATAATTCATATCAATGTCAACTGATTATAGAATAATACCTTATGCCTTTTAACACATTTCACTCAATTAAATTTAAATATATTTTATATTATTTTTCAATATTCCGTAAATTTTGTTCTGAAAAGCTGAAGGTATTTCCTAGTAAATTATGTAGTATCACAGTAACAAGTTCTTAACACATAGCAGTAAAAGTTTTATATATTAATCCTTTTAAGCCACTTTAAATTACTATGAGCTTCAGAAACCTCTATGGTCATCTCCTCTATATATGTAATACCCCATCTCACTTGATTATATTTCATAAACAACTCAAAGCTTCCGTGAAGTTTGGGGCCCAGATGTGAGTGCCATTATTAAGTTTTTTCTTTTTGGTTATATTCATCAGGTTTCTTTATAGTTGGTTGTTCCTTTGTACTTTCTTCTTGGATTAAGGTAGTTTATATATCAATTTCTGTTTCTATCCCTAATTCTGCTACTTCATTATAGAAAATACAATTACCTGAAACTCTAATCTTACATACATGCAAAAACACCTAGACACACACAAACAAACCAATTCAATCTATAAATCAGTGATAACTCTGTTTCTCCCACAGGAAGGATTTTCTGGCTGGGGATTTAGGGAAGTTGTATTCCCTAAATAATTGGAAGGTAACAGATGGGGGGGAGGCTTTTTTTTTAGCTGTTCGAGGTGTTTAGTCTCCCAGTTAAACTTGCATTAGGTCTGTATATTTGCGAAGCTCATGACTAGAGCTGTCCAGTGTTGCAAGTATAAACAGGAGCAATGCCCTGATTTTATACACTCCCTAAAGAGCACAACAGGTACTTCGTTTATTATTTTACTTATTTATTATATTAAATTTATTGGCGGTCCATCTAACTACAAAGTAACTCTGAATAGCTTACAATATTAAAAAATAAAACAATATAAATAAAATACTGCAAAAATATAAATATAAAATACAAAATGCAATAGCTAAAAGATGGGAAGGGAGAAAATTGGATAGGGGGAGGAGCAAAGTTTTTTTTTTGAGGAGGGGACAAACCATAGCCTCCTTAAAATGCCCCAGAAATATCCCTTCCTGGAGTGATGAATTAATCACTACCTGAACCTACCAGCTGATCACTGTATAGAGGCTTTACTCCTGGGACAAGGATCTAACTGACAAGTGGTGGTGCTGACAGCATTGAGGTCCTTCATCAGGTTGAACAAGTCAAACTTTCCCCAGATTGATTTATAAAAAACAAAATATTTTCAATGTTATTCTTAATGTTCACTTCCATATGTGTTTTTACTTCTGATTTATTTTCTGTTTGTATTTTATTATTAACTAATGGAAGGGCTTGAAAATAAATTTTTGAGCTCCTTTTTATCTTTTCTTGGGCTACAAGGAAGTAAAGAATTCAAATTCAGTGCTTTTAAGAGTTATATTCTGATACTGCTCCATATTTTTCTCTACTTACTTGATAGAAGCTAGAGATGGAACTGTGCTTAACATCCCATTCTCTGCCATTTCAATGGCATGTTTTATTTCCAATTTCTTGTACAGAGTAACAATACTTGATTTTGGTTGTTTCTCCTTAATTAAAAGTCTTCTTAGGTATTTCTTATCAAATTTTATAAACCTGTAAGAAGCAAGAACCATTCTATTAATTAGTTTAAAATGAATTGAAACTGCAGCAAATTTCTCTTTGTTCTTATAAATTATTCTGACTATAGACATTTAGAGAATTAGTTTCTAACTAAAATGACATTTTGAATTTGTGACAGAAATAAAGCAAAATTAAATATTCATGTTTTCTGAAACAAAATAATTCTTAAATTTAATTGAAGTATATGTTTGTAAAGTTAGTAATATTGAAAATGTAAATATTAAATAATACATTGGCTTCTTCTACTTGTTCTTTTAGATCATTAGTAAATATGCTACTTACTTATCTCTCCAAAAGTTGTGACCCCAGTGTCCACAAACATCTTCAACACCAGCCTTGATATGGTCAAAGAACTAGGATGGGGGAGGGGAATCATTACATTATTATTAATAAAGTTATATATTACTTCTTTCTGTAAGAAAAAATTTCTTGATACCAAAATAACAAATGAGTTTTATGAGATAAATTGCTATCCAATACAATTGTTTTTAAAATCAGCAATAAATGTATCTGAAAAATACCGTATTTTTCACAGTATAAGACGCACCTTTTTCCCTCAAAAAGAGTCTGAAAATCTGGGTGCGTCTTATACACTGAATACAGCATTTTTTGCCTCCCAAAACCCTGTCCCCTTCACCAAAATGGCCGTGCATAGCCTTTAGGAGGTTTTCAGAGTGCTCCTGGGGGCTGGGGAGAAATGAGTGAAAAATGGGCTGTTTTTTGCTCAATTCCCCCCCCCCTACACACCCCAGGAGCACTCTATAAGCCTCCTAAAGACTATGCATGTCCTTTTTTGACAAAAAACAGGCCCATTTTTGTGAAAAACAGGCCCTTTTTTGCTCATTTTTGTCCCCTCAACTGCCAGGAGCACTCTACAAGCCTCCTAAATGTTATTCATGCCCTTTTTTTAAAAAAAAAAAATGGTCCCGTTTTTGGGAGGTCTGCAGAGTGCAAAAACTTTTTTTAAATTTGCCCCTTCAAAATCTTGGTGTGTCTTTTACTCCAAAAATAATAGTCAAGACCGACTTGATGAAACATAATTAATTAAAACACATTATAAATGTTACATTATCACCACTTCAAAAGGAAAGTTTCTCCAATTGTACATGATGCTTGTTATCTAGATGTACAACTTTTTCTCAGTGCATGGCACCCTTCATGTCTCAATTTTTCACAGAGCCTCTAGGCCAAAATAAGTAACAGAAGTTCCATTTATTAAATAGTTGTCCAAATTTAAAAACATAAAATAATACAACATGCACATTTTGAGAATCATGGTTCTGTGCATTTCCCAAATGGCATGTAATTCACCTCAAATTGCAAACATACCCGGCAGTAGATTTCCTCACTGACTGCTGGTTGCTTCTTATTTGATCTTTTGACATCAAGAAAGTCCACTAGTGGGCGAATTGTCATTCCCTGTATAGAACAGCAGAAAAAATGCATGACAGTCACTTCAGCTCAGCATGATTTGCCATTATGTCATTTTCATATTCTGTTCAATGTGCATTTTAATAAATGAGTGGTCAGTGTATAGCATTATACTACAAATATATGAAAGGAAAATACATTTGTGTTGTGAAAGGAGATTCAGTTTGAGGAAAGAGTTCACATTGTACTGATTGATTATTTTTGTTGAACAGAATTAGATAAAGTTTACAAGTTTATAAAGTTTACGTGTAAGGAAAGATAGTAGAAAATATTTCAATATGCCAAGACAGGAGCTGATTACTTCACAAATTAGAAAAATATCTGACATCCAAGAGGGATAGAGTTTTGTAATGTTGAACAAATCAGTACGAGAATATACTGAATGAAGAATGACAAGCCAGGCAGGCATCAGAAATAAAGCTGAAGATGTAGGCCTAGTTTATAGGATAGATGAGGTTATTGTTCATTAATATGATGAGATTTCGAAGAAGGCTTTGACATAAATCTGAGATGTATCTGAGATGTTCAGCCACGGATATTCGCAATTTCTGACAACATAATCTGTTATTTTCTTTTGTGTGTGATACTTTTAGTATTATGAATTGGACAATTTGCAGATTTTCTACGAAAAGAATTATTGATCATATTGTACATGTAACTATTGGGAATATTCTTACCTGAATGAACACAGTAAAGAAGATCACTACGATAGCAGCGGTAATGAAAAGTTTCTTTCTAGGAAAAACAGTAGAAGGGAGCAGGAAGACCAGAGAAAAACATATAGCTCCTCGGAGGCCTCCATAGGCGATAATGAACTGGTCTTTAAATGTTATAGGAATTGTCCGAAATACATTTATTACCTGAGTCAATGCAAAAACTCCTAAAAAAAATCCAAACACATACAAAAATTGATCATGGTATCCTAATCAGCTTCCAAATTTAGGAACAAAAGGTACAGCGTTATATCAGTTGTCCTCCTATTTCCATAGCTGTTTTCAGTTGGTATTGGTAGGGGAAATAGATTTAATTCAATTACAAACTCCGCGGGATCTACCCTCTCTCTGTATTTAACATCTAGAGTACATGAAACTGTTGAGTAAGATATAGGGTTTTACATCAGAATTGTGTTACATCAGAATGATATAAGATATTATCAATATGCTGATGTATAATATACATCTCCATCTTAGGTTGACGAAGGTTGCCTGAACATTGTGTACCCTGGATGGGGAAATACAGAGTGTATCTTAACACTAGGAAAACTGAATAGTTCCACATTTTGGAGATCACTTTCGTGAGGAATAATTCTGCCAACCAGAACTAGAATGCAATATTGGGGTCCTCTTGGATTCTGCTTTCACTAGATCTCTATCTGTATTCAAGTTATGAGGACAAGATTTGAAAAATAGCGGTTGATTAATGTTTTCCTTAGTAAGGACAAGCAGCAAAAACTTTGCACAAACCCATCTTGTATGTCAGTTTGCTCAATAAGGAAGGTGACTTTGATAGAGTTATGCAGGTCCATTACCAAAGCAACAAGGAGAAAAACTTATCTTAAGTGAACAATACAGATAGTGTTCCTATGTGGGTCAGACAGACATTTCCCTAATTCACTAAGATGTAAGAAAGAGGAAAAGAACAGCACATTCTGTCAAGATTTTATTATTATAACTGTATCCAGGCTGATGCAACTACACCCATTCCTGGGTGTGACTCACAGCCACTCATGCCCTAGTCATATGCTGTCTAGATTGCTACAATATGTTCCATTATAGAGTTGCCTTTGATAACAACTCAGAATACAGTGGTGTGAACATTTACAAATGCACTTCGTTGTGCCCAGGTAGCACACTGCTTCACAAACTGAACTGGCTCCATATAAACTTTCTGATTATCTCCTATAAAATCCTTCATGGCAGAGATCCAGGTTACCTGTAGAACTGTCTGCCCCTAATTGTCTCTATTTGTCCCATGACAATTAGCAGAGAAGGCATATTAGAGATTCTTTCCCCATAACAAAGTCAACTAATGAAATTGTTCAGGCATGGTTTTTCTGTTGTAGTGCTTGCCTAACATCATTCATCTGAGGTTTGGACATCCTGCAATGACCTGGCTTTATGCCAAGCATTCAGGCAGATTGTAGGATGGGCATATATATAAGATCATTAAATGACATATATAATATGTATTGATTAGTCCCAGTTACTTCTCTTGACCCATTACTCTATTGGCTTTTTAATATTCCAGAGATACAATACTTTTTTTTCTTCATTTTCATGTGTCTTCAAATTGTGAGTGTCCTACAGTTGCTCTTGCAATTGGGCAGCCTTATAAAACTCATAAATCAAAATAAATAAATAAATGTTCTTCAATATTTTCAGTACATTTAAGGTAACAGAATTCTTCAAAATCAAGTCAAAATCGTTTGTTGGTGTTATAGAAGATACATACATACATACATCATGGCTGAAAACTTTTTTTACTATAATTGTAAATGTTTTTGTAATGAAAGTACCATATTTACTCTAATTTAAAATAAGGATGCAAATTAAATGCATCCCCTACCCTTTGCAGTTTTAAGGTAGCCAAGCCTATAATTCCTCAGGAATTTCTATAAAAGAAGAGACTCCCTATCAGCTGGAAGTTGAAAATCTGAGATGTACTGTTAAGTGTCTTCACACTGTATAGGATGTATGGATCTTCTTCCTTCCTTATATAATCATTGGGTTCACTGGCCAAAAATTGGTTTACTCAGAGTAATTTGTAAAGATTTTCCTCTTATCACTGTAAAAAACAAGATGAAAGTCTTTCATCTTAAAAATAAGGACATTTCTTTGTCAAAGCTGCAGTTCCATTATCTAAAAGATAATCATATTTCAGGACTAAAGTAGGGTGAAGTGCAATCTAGAAAGTTTTAAGTGATTCTTACCTAATGAACGCCAAATCAAACAAAATAGCAGTGTAAAGCAAACAAAGGCCCAGTTCCATTCATGGTTTTTTCCTACTGTAGATACTCCCATAAAAATAAAGATAAGAGTTTCACTGACACTGCTCAGCATTTTCATGAAATATTTTATAGTAGTATAGGACTTCTGAGAAACATTCTCTTCTACATATTTATTCATGGTCATAGCACATGCTGTAATCCTGCAAGAAAAAAACTAGTTCAGTTTCTCTGTATTTTTATTACAAATACTGTATTTTTACTGCAAACATTTGATGTTATTCCAATAAAATGCCCAGAAACACCAAGTTAATGAGATAGGCAGCAAGAAATCCAATAAATAAATATCACTCAGAATTGTTATAGAAGTTAATGTCACTGAGTTCAGTAAAATTAAGTTTCTTCCTTTTAACATTGCTGAACCGATTTCTTGATATCCTATAGTAAGGTCTTTGGGAACACTTACAGACTTTTATGCAATCAACATAATGCATTGTGTGGATCCCTTTGCAGTCAACTCTTCTAACAAAAACTTAATTGTTACTTGCTTGTAGAAAATGGAAAGTTGTTGTTCTCTTTGGTTTTTAGCCACCTAGAGTCCCAATGGGAGTGGGCGGCATACAAATTTTATTAAACTTGGAAACTTTTTGTCGCTTTGAAGGGTCATACGATGCTGTCTTAGCCATATAGGCCAGGTGGCTACAATAATTATTTGTCCTCCCTTTGGTTATTCAGCATTGTGATATTCAATGTGGTTATGATTTCACTTTATAAAGATACCATTTCATGATGTCAGAAAGACTGCAAATAGATATCATGCGTGGGTGGTATTGCAGTGCTTCCTGTTTTAATCTTGAACTTTAAGATGTGTTCCATGATGTTGTTCCTATCAAATATCTCCCTGGAACAGATGATTATACAAACTGGATTTGCTACTCCTTCCCAATTTAATTATTATTATATATTTTGGTCAAAGTATGTGTTATATTTTTATATAAGGTAAAGTAGGCTGAACTAAGCTGAAGTCACCTTGCCATCTACTGATAGTGAATGCTATAGAAGTAGTCTATTATTTTTAGATTCAAAAAATGAGTTTCACTTTTAGGTACTTATTTAAAGCATCTTAGATAGGAATCTTTACTAAATCCCCAGGATGATACAGGGCATATCTGACCAAGTAGAAAGGCCACAGGAAGTTTTCTACAATAGTTCCCATGCCATTCTGTGGTTTTTGATAGCCAGAACATGTTGTGACACAAAAGAGGAAGTATGAAAGTTCTCCTGTGCTGTGAGGCTGTAATTCCAGGCTTCATTTTATACTTCCCACTTCATCTCTGCAAAGTAGCCATTTATCAGCTCCTCACATAATGATTGTATCACCAAAAAATGTGAAGACCCACACTAGACAATTCTAGGAACTTTCATCCAATTTCAAAACTCTTAATAGTATACTAAAAGTCAATTATAGTGTTTCTTTTACTTCAGTTGTAAGATTATATAGATATTTTTATGACTGGGGTTGTCTGAGTTTTGGCTAGTAATAACAGGAGAAATGTGGATTTCATCTATAAAAGCAGGGATAAGGTATAGATTGTTCTCTTTTTAATGACTGTATTTATTTTGAAAGTACGTATAAATTTAAGTCCTGATGATCTAAATGATAACTATTCTCACATACATAGGTACAGGCTGGAAAATATATCCAAGAAATCACTAGTGGTTTGATTTGTATTTGGTTTTTATGTCTTGTCAGAGAAAGACTGATGCGGAAATCCTTCAGTATATTATTTCAGTTTATTTAAATATTCCCAGATAATCACTTCCATTTATCTAAAGCCATTTAAACTAGACTGGGCAGATCTATCAGTAATGCAAATCAACCAGTTTCTGTCTAGTGGAAAAATCTAGTTCATAAGATATTACGGTATCTTTTAGCTTTTTCACAATTCAGTGTTAAGTTTCCTGGCTCCCCTTCTATATTGGAGTGATATATAGGAGTTATACAAATCTACGGAAAATACTTTATTGTAACTTGGTCAAAATCACTCCATTTATGACAAAAGAAACTTAACATCCAATATTCTATTACATTCCTTTTTAGTACGAATGTATATACAGTATGTATAAACATTATTAAATACTGGACTAGAAAATAATTTAGTAGCTCAATCCATTAAATGCGTAGCCATAATGTAAATTGATTCTGGCTTAGCTAGAAATGGAAACCCAGCTATAGTGGCTTAGCACTATGTATGAATGAGCCATTGCAGTTTATTTAAGAAATCATAGTTAAAATAATCTGATTTGACAACAATTGGTGGATACCTATTTTCTACATATTATATTAAAAGACATACTATCCTCAGCAAAAAGAGCACTGAAAAAGCAATAGGCTTTTTATAAGAGGCATTCATATTGCACATATATGAATGTTCCATAATAGTACCTATGATAGTCTTTACAAATTTATTAAATAAATTTGAAGCATTTTAAAGATTAGTTGATGAATCCTATTTATGAATGCTGACATTAATACCAGAATTAGAAGGAAATTGAAAACCACACAAATGTTGTTAATGGGAATGAAGTATAGGTGGGATTCTAAGAGTCGGGTAAATTAATATAGTATTTTATAATTAACAAAATGCTCAATGAAATAAATTTCCACTTTTACAGTTTAAGCAATGAAATCCATTTTTCAAATGTAAGCCTTATTAGTTCATTCAAATTTTCCACATTAAAGTATTTGAAATAATTAATTAGCTACGTGAGAACACTGTATTTAGTAATGCATAGTCCTCAGCTTACAACCACAATTGAATCCAAAATTAATGTTGCTAAGTGAGACATTTTTGAAGTGATTTCCCCCCATTTTACGTCTTTTCTTGTCACATTTCTTAAGGGAATCAATGCAATTGTTAAATTGATAACAGGGCTATAGCAATAACAATAGCAGTTAGACTTATATACCGCTTCATAGGGCTTTCAGCCCTCTCTAATTGGTTTACAGAGTCAGCATATTGCCCCCAACAATCCGGGTCCTCATTTTACCCTCCTCGGAAGGATGGAAGGCTGAGTCAACCTTGAGCCGGTGAGATTTGAACAGCCGAACTGCAGAACTGCAGTCAGCTGAAGTAGCCTGAAGTGCTGCATTTAACCACTGCGCCCCCTCGGCTGTTAAGCGAATCTGGCTTCCCCATTGACTTTGCCTGGGAGACGTTTGCAAACGATGATCACATCATCCCAGATACTGCAACCGTCATAAATGTGAGTCAGTTGTCAAGTATCCAAATGTAAATCACATGACCATGGAGTTACTGCAGTGGTCATAAGTGTGAAAAATGTTCATAATTCAATTTTTTTCAGTGTCATTGTAACTTTGAATGGTCATTAAGTGAACTGTTGTAAGTTGAAGACTACCTATATTAAAAATAGATTTTTAAAAATTGAAACATGGCACTTAAAGGCAAGAAATATAAGATATTTCACATTATATGAGAGGAAAACATTCATTTTGCCAAATGTATGAATATATCAATTCCTTTGATGAAATAAAATAATCATAATGTTTTGTTTTTATCTGTTATTTATTCAACACTTTATAATGTTTAAGATATATAAATTTTCAACAAATATTTTAAAATAATTTAAAGATGAGAAAGGAATTGAAGGCTGAAGCTTACTAATTTGACTAAGGTTATCTTATAAAGTGTGCAGTAGAAACATGCTTTAAAATAGAAATCACTTTTGCATATCTTAAACTTTTACCCATTTTCTCATACCAGCTATCATAATTATTTATAGCATTGTTCCCGAATGTACTGTAGATAACTCTAATTATAATGATGGAATTGAAACATTTTCTTAAATCATTTACTCTTCTAAAATTAGACTGCAAATTCTCAAAGGTAAAAAGCAGAGATATTATTTACTTTTAACAACCCTATATCTTGAAAAACATGCTCCATTTACTTAATATCCTCTGCCACATTGTTGTTTATCAACATAGGAGATCCTTCAAAAATTGAGGGGGGGAAATAAACATATCGATATTGACACCACATATTTTCATGTGTGGAAGACTGAAAGGGATATGAAAAGATTCCAAGATTGCACTAATAAAGTTTAAAAATCAGAACCAGTGGCCTCAGGAAAACAATTACAGTAATATAATTTCAGAACCTAAACTGGCTGAGTGAGTATATTAACTTAGACTGCTAGTTAAAACAACATCTTATCACGCAAGAAATCATAACTAATGTGAAGATAATTGAGCACTAAACATTTGGATTTTTAATATAATGGACACTGGACTTGTTAAATGTTATTACTTCTGAATTTGGAAACTAAATCCTGGTTATTGCTGTTGTTGTTTAAAAAAGGAAGAACATAAGTAACTATTAATAATGCATGCAATATATTCTTAGCCTAGGATTCTTGTTTGCTTGGTTTTTTTTATACTTACGCCATAATCCCTGAAAGGTGAAACATTTCAGCTGTTATGTATGATAGGTAACTGTATAAGAAGACAAACAGTGGCTCAATCACTCGAATTTTATGGGTGAAACGAGTAGTAAAAGCTGCTACAAATCCAAGAATGATTCCAATCAAAACTCCTCCAATGCCAACTACAAAAAAATTAGCAATTCCAGCAAATATGTCAACGACCTCAATTGTACGCATCTGGCAGAAAGATTTGAACAAGTTGTACAGCACCTATGAAGGGAAAAGTTTAGCTTTTTAGATTCCTTTCTAAATAAGGTTACAGTTATTTTAACTGGAAATTACATTCTATTGCCACTCAATAATCTCAGAAAGTAGAACAAATGAAAAAAATAGGAATACATGATGAAAGAGTCAATATTTATTACCTTTCAACTGTGCTGCATTTTTTTTAAAGCATTCTTTTTTAAAAAATTTCCTCTTAGGGAAAAATGTTCAGTTATTCAATCCTGTATGTAACAGTGGGGAGCCTCAGCCCCTAATCTAATGTTGTACAGTGAATTTCAAAAAATCTTTATGTCAACTCGCAAAGCATTCCTGGCCTGCTGTTGAGTTGCCATAGACAAGAGAGATGGGAAACTGACAAAACAACATGGCAGCTACAAACAGAAGCACAGTCCAGGGATATCTTTCTTAAGGCTGTCTCCCAGGTTACCCACAGCAGCCGGAAGGGAGTGATCTCTAAAGTCTGTGAAAATGCTCCATTGGTGAAAGTGATTTATGACATACCCTGGGAGAAATAGGGTCATAATTGGACCTTAAATTACATGGGGTCAGAGTTGCCTTCACTTTGGTAAGTGCCCACATGTTGCTCCTAATAAATAACTGGATTTCATTTGAAGCTTGCGTTGAGGCTCATGATTTAATTAGGGCATCCGTAGGAACCCTGACACATTATAATCTAGTCAATCCTCTGAAGAAAAAATAGCAGTCTCTTACCTGGCAGCCTTGCATGTGAATATTGGGGGATGGGATGGGGAAGAGATAAGAAAAAGAAAAAAGTATGTCAGGGGGGAAATGATGTGTCAGAAATAAAGACAGCAGGTGATTTCATCCTTTAGGGTATTTATAAGACTGAAGTACTTTGGATCAGTACCTAAAAGGTGATTCAGCATCTGCCACATAATCCGGGGAAAAAGATTCAGCTGTATTAGCAGAAGTGTAACACTGATGCCTCCATATGGTCCAAAACTTTTTTTTAACAAAACCCGAAGCTCTACATAGTTTAGTATTCATAATGCACAAAGAGCAAAGACAAACATCTGTCTATATATATAGATTGAATACATTCATTAAAACTATTCAAACAGGAGCAAAAGTTACATTCATAGCCGCCAGATGACAGGGATATGACTGCTTTTATTTGCAATATGTTAGGTAATCATACTGGACTAGCAAAAAAAAAAACCTTTATCTTCTCGTGGACCAGAATCCAACAGTTCTTAAAAAGGCTGGTCACCTTCGTGGTAAAGATTAAGTGTTTGCTGCCATTTCTCCCGTGTAGTAGGCTTTAAAGCATGTTCTATCTAGTTCATATCTGATCAAATCCATTCAGGTTCTTCTACCAAAATTGCTTCATTTGTCTTATTTCATTTTCTCATTGCTCCTTTAGTCAAGCAAGCACCCCTTTCTACACCCCTTTCTACACTGTAGAGTAGGGCTGTCAAACTCATGGCTCGCAGGCCGTATGCCTCACACGCTGGTCACATCCATGCCCAGTTTTTTCCCATGCAAAGGGGAAAAAAGTCATGTGATGATGCCGTGATGATCCCAATGTGACACCCCCACTATAGAGGAACAGTCCTAGTGATTTACTAGGGGTCATTTCTCCATTTCCAAGGTTAACAACGACTTTGAAAGAATAGCTTGTCAAAGTGACAACAAAATGCTTTCACAACACTATTTAAATTCATCAGCTTTCAGAACTAGATCAACTGTTCTTAATTTTCTAAAACTATATAATGCATGACAGTTTATAAGACTACAGCAAAACAAAGAGCATTGGGCAATTTATCCATACAATGAGCATGAGAATTACTGAGTGTGTGGATCTCATAATCCAAAATAGCAACAGCAGATTTATATACTGCTCCATAGTGCTTTACAGCAATCTCTAAGCAGTTTACAACGTCAACATATTGCCCCAACAATCTGGATCCTCATTTTACTGACCTCAGATATAGAAGGCTGAATCAACCTAGAGCTAGTCAGGATTGAACTCCTGACTGTAGGAAGAATTATCCTGCAGTACTGCAGTACTGCACTAACCACCGCACCACCAAAGGCCCACAAATGTCATCCATCTTTAGCATATAGTATCTTCTAACTATTGAAACTGTGTTTATTTTGACCCATCTAGTCCATCAAAGCTTTTAACAGCAACTTCTATCCAATCTAAATTGGCAATGTACGAATTTGAATAGCCTCATTGGGTGCATAAGAAGAGAATCATTATGGGTCATTGCTCCTAAATCATTCTCGTATATAGGTCATTAAGTGTGATCTTCCTGGTGAATCTGTGAAGTGGTCTTCATCTTTCTGGAGACTGATACAAAAGCAGCATTAAAAAATGCAGAACAGGTTGTAATGATAAAGGAGAATATTTATAGATCAGGATTGAAATGAGGAGTTCTTGCTGCTCTTTGATTTCTTGTAGATTATCTAGTAGGTTATCTAGTACATTATCTAGTGCATTATCTAGCAGATTATTGATTTCTAGCTTCATTATCCAAACTAGATAACTTCAGTGGTACTAAAGAGTGAGGTTCCTCTAAATTTATGTCTGGAGGTCTCCAATACTACTCCCACCAATACTGACAGGGTAAATCACTGGAATATCAATTGAGAGCAAACCTTCTCCTAGGTGATGTTACCCAGTTTGGGTAATGAAACATCTACAAGAAAATAACTAAGCTGCTATTGTCTCAAAGAGGAGTTTGGATTTAGCACGGATTTCTTCACTCCTCTGAAAGAGAAATTTGAGAAAGGCGTGAAGGAATCTATTTATACCAAAATGGAAAAGCCTCCCTCAATAGAGGTGGAAATCTCAGACACAACCAGTTCTCCAGTTTTTATGCTGCTCTTGCATCAGTCCCCAGGAAGATCAAGACCACAGGTTCATCAGGGATATCAAATTTAATGTCCCATCTAAGAATTTAGGAAAATGACCCTTAAGGACTCTGTGTACTTAATTAAGGAACCTATTCAGATTAGGTGAAATGAAGCAATGGTGGGTTCCTATCTGTTCAGACTGGTTCTGCCGAACCGGTAGTGGTTTGGTGGCCAGGGTAGCTGGAATCGGCAGTGACCCAAGCCTGCCACGCCCCCAAACCGGTTTCCTGGGCAGCGCCAGTGGTGCCACCATCTTGTTTTTCAGTTCTGCACATGCGCAGAACAATTTTAATTGCATTGTGCATGCGCATGCAGCATGCATCAAGCACACACATAGAAAGCACACACACAAATGAACCAGCAGTAGTGCCTGCCAGAACACACCCTTGAAATGAAGCCATCCTGGAGGACATATATGAGGTCCCCCAGTGGTGGGTTTCAAAAAATTTTAGAACGTCTTCTGAAGGTGTGGCTTGCTGGCCATGTGACCAGGTGGGAGTGGCTTGCCAGCCATGTGACCATGTGGGGGTGGCTTGACAGCCATGTGAATGGTTGGGCATGGTGAAACTCACTTAACAACGCTCTTGCTTAGCAACCAAAATGTTGGCTCAGAAACTCTGCATTTGAAATATGCAAGTCTTAAAGCTATCAAGTTACAAGACCCTTGCACCCCTAACCCTTTTTAAAAAATCAGGAGTGTTCAAACTGTTGAGGACTTGGAAAGTCCTTGACATACGATCAGGCAACTATGCCTGGTCGTATGTCGAGGACTTTCCGAGTCCTCAACACAAACTTGACAGCTTTAAGACTTGTGGACTCCAACTCCCAGAATTCCTCCTCTCGCTCTTCATCTTGATAATGTGCAGACAGGTGGGGGGAGGGAGCTGGAACTGGTTCTAAATGGCACTGTAGATTTGTGGAACTTCTTCTATAGAAGAGGTTAGAACTGGCAGGAACCCACCCCTGGGTCCCCCTTACCAACTTTCTCAGACTGAAGAAACTGCTTCAAAACAAACTATTTCCAACAAACAAAACAAACAATGAGGTCCAGTTGCCAAGTGACTCAACTTCTAGACATTCCCTTTCATGTCCCACAATGCATTACTGCTCTATTCACAGTTACCTTACTTTATTATAAGCATATTCTCCTTATTTGCAATTTCAGAGTTAATATGCCAGGAATCACAAATGAAGTTATTTTTCATGATTTAGTGCTCTGCAAAAGGACCTTCATTCCTACTTATAATTTTTAGAACTTCAGACAGTGTTTTCTATTATTAATCAAACAACATGTAGTTGAACAACAACTTGTGGACTATCAAACTAACCATATCTTGTCCTGAGTTATGTGTGGTTTGCAGAAAATAGAAGCAAAACATGTTTGCTTACTTGCTGTAAGCTGGATGTATTGGCAAGAGGCACTGTATGCAAATCCTATTAGCCCTGCTTGGTGAAATCGTATTTCATTATCCTGTGAGAAAGCAGTAACCATATTATAAGCAACAAGGAATTGGACCACACAAAAAAGCTGGAAATAGTGAAAGGAGGTGCCAATGCATTTTACTTCTCTAATTCAGAGACAGAAATGGAAATCTGAGCAGTGTGCTCTCAATTTGAAACAGCCTGCTCACTTCCTTGTTCTACTCCCCAGGCATTCCTGGTGCCTATCGAATATCAGCCATCAAATATAGACATTAACTTGGTTTATACTCTGCTGAATGAAACTGCAATGCTTTTCCTGGACGGTGCCATTTCGCATGGCAATTGCACATTGCATGCTCCATTAAAATGCAAATAGAGGGGAAAGGCAAATACAAACCTACTTTGTTAGAAGAACTCTACGTGAATAAAATTCTTTATTTTTGTAAAGTGAGACAGAATTTCATAAAAATCTGCCAGTTTCCTAAAGTGGTTCAGCCCCCCAAAATTTTTATTTCTTCACCTTGCTGAATGTGAGATGCATGTTGGAGGTTGTTGGAGATTTTAAAAATTGATAGGAATTTAAGTATATGGATACATAATTTAAGAAAAAAATTGTCTGATGGTGTCATTAGCAAGACAGGAATCCCATGGCACCTTGAAAACTAACTGATGATGTCCTGGCATAAAGCCTGTGATGAACAGGGCTGTTGCCAACAAATGACTATTTTCATAGAGGTCATTCATTGTCATATGGATGGTCATTAACTTTTAGCCACTCCTGTATTGATATTTTCTTTTTTCTTTTTTTTCAAAGTACAATAGAAAATTCAAAACTTAATTCAAATAATTGCCTAGTAGTTGCCAAACACATAGCTATATACTGTTTCTATTTCTGAGTTTTAGATACAACGTTCCTATGGAAAAAATTACCAATACTCCATCTGATTACTAATAGAAGTGCTTCTATGATGAGCTTAAAATAGGAAAATAAGTTTGTGTGGGCTTGTGATTCTAGCAGAATTATTTGTGATGTAGCCATAATAAAATTATTCAAGCTTCTTTCTGAATGAAAGTTTAGATTCAGCATGATTCCTCCTCTGAATGTTTGTTTTCTAAGTTTTCTTTTTAGTTTAGAATTGAATAGAGCCCATTGAAATTGGACAGCTAACAAATTCAAATAAATAAATAAGATTTCACTATAGCTAAAATATAGTTTACATTTCTTACTACATTATAGGAATATAGGTTTATTCTTATTAAGTATTAAATGTACAGTTATCATTTGTCTATTTTAACACGAACACTTGCTAGACTTAAGAATTTGTTTTTTTTTTGTTTTTTTAAAAAAGATTAATACCACTTTTAATGAGCTGCAATATATATATATATATATATATAT